TGGTGCATATATCTGAATAATAGTGGTATTCACTGGACTTCCTTGTATGCGTATGGATATTATCCTGTCACTGACAATATCGTACTTCAAGATGGATCTAGCAATGACTTTTTTAACTATGAAAGCAACTCCATTTTTCCTCACCTTTTCATCTCCAGAGTAATATATGATCATCCGACTCACACAAAAATAATAATAAAATTAAAAAAAAAAGAGAGAGAAAACTAGAGCTTCAAGTCATGTATTCTGACATGGTATTTATTAGGAGGGGCCGATCCATAGAGGACATCTTATTATTAGGTATAGTAGGAAACTCAAACCAAATCTATTTTCATCCAGTTGATTCTGACACATAAGTGACACGATTCATTTCCAGTGCTGTAAATCTCTACGGAAAGAGCCGACATATCTCTCTCTTGCAGTACACCTGGCAGATTTAAACTACTAAGCTTAAATGATTATACATTATGCACTACATCACCAGGACTCCTTTGGTGAAGTAGACCAACAATGAGAAAGAAGACAACCGTCAATGTAATAGATTGACAGAGTGGCTGTGAAGGTGAGCCCAAGCAGTGTGTGGATGCTGCGGAACAGGGCAATGCTTCATTCTGCACGCACAGGATCACGAGCCAGAACTGATTTGGGCCAAAACAATGATGAGACTGAAGTGATGGTCTGAACAAAGAGTTCTTGCTCTTTCCTTTGGATGTGAAAAACTGTCATGCAGTTCTAACTGCGGCTATCACACAGAATGTTAGAGCTGAAAGAATCCCAGAAAAAGAACCAGAATCCTAAAAAACAGTAATTACCATCTAAAATTGTAAAACATCTAGGTTTTAATTACTATCTAGGATACAAAAACAAATACTTACACCTAGAATTTAAAAGTTAATACAGTTAATTGCCATGGCTCGTTAAGTCAGTTTAACTTTCTGTTTCATGCTTCTTGAAGTATCTTAATTGAGGCTATCACCAAGCCAAGGTATCATTGTAGCCTATATATCTAATTTATTAATTTTTTGTCATCTATGAAGATGGACAGACATGTCACTAAAGAGTTCAGGCTCATGTGGCCAATGCGCAACATGTGCACCATTTCTTTTTGGATATTTAGGAATCAATGAGCAATTCATTATGAAACTGACTTCTTATTCTCATATTGACAAACATTGGCTTACATAATGGAGAGAATTCTTTACATCCTTCTATAATTCTCAATAGAATCTTACTTCTAGTACAATGGAAACAATAGAAAAAAACTGTCTTTTCTTTTGTGTAAAACTGTACTGGATTATGATTCAGGTCACTTTACAAGTATTTCTCCTTTGTGATTCTAATAACTACAAGCTCAAGAGACCTATTCAACTCTTCTGCCAAACAACAACAGAGGGGAAAAAAAACCCTTTAAAAAAATTATTTGTTTTTAAACATTCAGTAGTGTAAGATGACCACTAAAACAAAAAAGACAAAAATATTTTGTAATCAGGATTGTACAGTTTCATGGATCAAGAAAGAGGGTGAAAGAAATGGGAAGGATCTGGGAGGGGGGACCTGAAAAGACAGGGTAATAACGGGCAGAGTCCAATGGTGATTAATTTTATAAAACATAATGCATAGGAAAGACTGTATGAAACATAGTGTGAATGAAGAATAGTGTGAAACACAATGTATATGAACTTCGTAAGCAAACAAATATAGTATTTTTTAAAAATTAAATGGAGATAGAAATGGGGGGGAAACCCATATTGTGATCAACAAAAATTAAACAATGAAAATCATCTTAGCAAGTTATAATCGTTTTTAATCTAGGTACAATTTTATTTTATATCAATTTCTTAATTTAAGGAAAAATAATAATTACTGTTTCTTACCAATTCATTAGTTTTAATGTATTCTCTTAGTCTATCTATTTTTTCCCCTTGCTTGTTGGATAACTCCACTTCATACAGATTGAAGCACATATTGTGGTGACAAACTATAGAAAAAAAAACAAACAAGGAAAAAAATTCTCTAAATATGCCATTATATAACTACTATATCTATTATAAAGGTTTAAGAAGGCGAAATGTCAGTAAAAATGCCTATTTCGATATTTTAGGTTATAAGTTTCACCCTGGTGAGGGTGGAACCAGGCTGATCCTTGGAGGCAAAGATTTTGAAGCCCAGTCTCACATACTTTGGGTATGTTGCCAGGAGGGACCAGCCCTTGGAGAAGGACATCATGCTTGGAAGGTTGGAGAGACAGCGCAGGAGAGGAAGACCCAGGTTGAGATTGACTAACAGAGAGACTGTGACAATAGGGATAGGTGTGTCACACATGGTGAGACTGGCTCAGGATAGTGCAGAGTTCAGAGCTGTGGTTCATAAGGTCACTATGATCATAGCTGACTTGATGGCACATAACCATAACAACAAGTTTTAAGTAACCTTAATGTAAAGTTACAGAATAAATTAATTTCAAACTAATTAATGGTATAATTTATACTTAAACCACTACAGGAGTAACAACTATATAACATGTAACAGAGTTACCTCAATTAACCTAGACAGTAAAATTTCCTTCTTACATTTTTACTTTCTATGAGTCAACAACATGGTTTATGTTTAAAATTACACAAACAAGTAAAAGCAGTAACAGCTTTGTTCTTGAGAGAAATAGTTAGCAACCAAATAATTCAGCACATCACTTCTTTCTTTCAGTATTTTACCTGTTAGCTTCCAACTCACTTAAGCACAGTTCTGCTTATTTCCCTCAATATTTATGTTAAAACTAGCCTGCAAACTAAGATGAAACAACCTATCAATTCTAGATGACCTTAGAAAAACAGAAACAGAATCAGAATCACTATGAAATTTTTACAAACTATCTTTCTTAGGTATCATTACTAAGTTGGATATGATACGATGTTAACCAAGTTCAGTTTTATTTGACTTTTTGTATTTATTTTTTTAAACAATCTGCGCGCAAAAACGTTTTTTAAAGGAAAAAAACCAAACTAAACTTGCTTCCATTAAATCAGCTCCAACTTACAGGACAGAGTAGAACTGCCTCATATTTGGAAAAGAGCCTTGAAGGCAACTGGAACAAATCCCAGAACATGCAGTACATCACTCACTACCTTCAAACAGACCTTTTTGTTCCAAGTAATTCTGTTTCTTAAAGGCAGCTTCTGGTAATTTCTTTTTCAAAGAAGATACTTTCATTACATATTTAAAATCTAGTTCTGATGGTCTAAAAGAAAAAAACAAGATCAACCAGTGTAATAAATAACTGGAATTATATGTAAGTTCATTTTTTGTTGTTTTCTAATGTCAACCCAAACAAAAACATTACAACTACAAAAAGTCCATAAACCAATAAACTTCCAGGTCAATTATTTTTTTCCAAACAGTATTTTTAATAATTGTTTCAAGTATATGGTCTATACACCATTGCTTATAAGTACTCACATTTTCTAAATGTCAATTAATTTTGATCTAGCTACAATATTCGTAAGTGTCAAAGACAAGTACGCACACTGAAATGAAGAATTTTAAAATATTCTGCTATGTGAGAATTGAAAATTCTTGACAATACTCGACTGCCTGCTATGCAATGCTTAAAAATGAGCCATAACCAAGTCTTTGTATAATTTACTTAGTCCTTTTTTGAAAAACTCTTTTTGAAATATTTTTAGATATATACCAAAGTTGCAAGACTAGTCCAAAGAAAAACACAAAAAACCCAACCAAACATTCTTATATCCTTCATCAAAAGTCAAATGTTAACATTTTACTTTGTTGTATTTTTTTTTTCTATAATTATATTTTATTAATTTTCATAAACATTTACAGAGATTTTGGGTTTCCATTCATTCACCGCTGCACCATTCTCTCTACCCTCCTCCCAGTTTGTTCTTGTCCAAATAATAGACTACTGTTTTATTTTGGACCTTTTAAGAAAAAGTTGCAAACATGCTACTCATTCCCTTTAAATATGTATGTCCAAAACAGGAATACTTTGCTGTTGTCTTCACAACAAGGCCAATACTCAACATTAGGATAAAAGGAGAAAATTTGAAATTATCAAGGATTTCTTTTGACTTGCATCCATAATCAGTGTCCATGAAAGCAGCAGTCAATGAAAGCAAATGAAAAAAATGCACTGGGAAAATGTGCTGCAAAATATTTTTCAAGTGTTATAAAGCAAAAGTGAGGTCACTTTTGTGTGTGTGTGCCGTGTGGCTATGTGCTCAGCTGTAAAACGAAAAGATTGGCAGCTCAAAACACAAACTTCCCCACAGGAGATAGACCTAGCAGCCTGCGCCTATAAAGATTTACAGCCTTAGGAACCTTTTACTATTCTATTCTGTTATATAGGACCAATATGATTCCAATAATTTAATGACAATAAATTTGGGGTTTGGTCATAGCAGAAGAAAATTATCTATTATCTTTTTCCTGGTCCAGGAATTCATACTGCATTAGTTTTACATGTCTTTTATTCTGTTAAGTAGTGACATTACTATTTTTTATCACAGATTCTTTTTTTTCCCTATAGATTTCCTTTTATTGAGTTTGTTATTATTACAGAATTCTAGCCAAAACCATGCCTGAGAATTAAAAAAAAAGAAATGGTACAATGGACAGCTTCATCTATCCAACATGCAGCATATAAAAATTGATTTATGTGCATTTTGGTAATTTCACAATCTTTAAAAAGTTTTATCATGATATGGGATTTTAAATCTGTTGCAAGTCTTCAAATCTTAGTATACCATAGCATTAAAATAACACTTCCACACATTCATCACAGTCCATTCCTTAGTTAACTCCTAGTAAGATTTTGCTGGAAGAGATGCATCCTTTCCAGGGAAAATTTATGGCTCAATGATCAAGACGTTACTAGTTAAGGTTTTTGGTTCTCAAACGTATTCCACTTAACCAAGAATCCTTCTTTCTCTGAATCATCCAAGCTCCTCTTGGCTCAGCTACTCCCCTAAACACTTCAGAAAGCATACAGCCTGTCTGCCATCTCATACAATGTCAACATTTTTGCCCAGAAATAGTTGGTAGGTCCAGCCAGGAGATACTATTGTTCTCCTTAAGAGTCCAATTTCTACATTGACACTTTTTATCTAGATTGAACTCCTATTAAAAATTGCTCCCCTATCAGGATAGTTTTATTCACCCATTTGCTTCACTCTTGCTAGTAGCATGTCTACAATTCCTCCATTTGGCAAAGGGATTTATTACCCAGATTATTTCTTTTGTAGTGAGCTCTGGTGGCTTAGTGGTAAGGAATTATACTGCCAATGCAAACATACACCGTTCAAATCCATCAGCCGCTCCATAAGAAAATATGAGCAATCTCCTCCCATGCAACTTACTACCTCTGAAAACCCACTGGATTGTCGTTTCCAACTCAATTGTAAACAACAATTTCTTCTGCAAAAATGCCTTCCATTTAGAGAGAGCAGCTATTTATTTGCTCCTGGTTAGATTTCTAGCAGGAATACCACAGAAGTGAGGAAGTATGCTTCTCGGAGTATATTAGGAGAAACCTAAGAGGTACTTTACAACTGGTGACGTTAACTTCTTAGCTAAGACAGTATCTTCCAGTTTCTTCTTTACAAGGTCTTCTATTTTTCCTTTGTTGATTACTAAGCAAGTTAAAGGGAAATACTTTAAGATCATGCAAATACCATCAGACTTTGACCTACTACATTTAGTATCCAACTGATTGATTATTATAGTGTTTCCAAAAGGTGGCTATTTAATTCCATCATTCTTTCCCACTGATAAGCTTCATTCTACAATTAGGAAGAACTTTCTTCTCTTCTCTCCCATTTAGTCATAGAAATCTTATTATATTCAATGGATTATATCATTCTTACCACTTTTTGAAAGAGCTAATCAAATATGAATTCTGACAGCACCCTAGTTTTTTCCTTAGCATTTCAACTTAAATACATTTCTCATTCAATGGTTTGAGATATAATTTAAGAACAGAGAGGATGAAGATTTAATGAGTTATTCTTCAGTTCCCCTGAAGAAACTGTTCACTGATAATTCATTATTAATATAAATATGCACAGCAACTACTTTATTTACTAAAGTTCAAGGAAAATTATGTGAAAATTAGAAGTTCAGATACTGAAAAGCTTACTAATAACTTAATAATATAATTGTTGCTGTCGTTGTGTACTGTTAAGTCAGAACTGACCCATGACCCTCTAGCAGGTTTTCAGAGGCAGGTAGTCGTACGGGAGGAGACTATCCATCCTTATGAAGTAGCCATAATCTGCTATATCTTCCATCTATAAAAATCTGATTTGTTTCTTAGAAAAGTAAAACTTTTAATTCCAAAGAATCTATTCAGAGAAGTCATTTCATGAATTAGGATACCAAGGTTGAAAAAGTTATTTATCTAATGTTATAAAACTAATTTATTTCACAGCCAAAACCAAAAGCTAAAATCTGAAACCAAGTATAATTGCTGTATTTTACACCAATTTCACACCATGAATTAACCACCAAGACTTCAAAATGAGATCAGAAAAAAATTGCTTTAACCCAATCGTTAAGGAAAGACACAAATTCAAACTTACAGCTGTGCTGGAATCACTGTACCATAAGTTGACCAAAGCATTATATCACACAGCAGACATCCTTGAATACTTAGCTTCCCTTTCCATGGAGAAATGAGAACTTCAGGAAATGAAGACAACAAAAAAACCAACTTATTTATTGGTCACATATTTGCTTTAAATAAAAACCCAGAAAAAAAAAAAAACAATGATATAATTTCTTACCATTTTTATGAAGTTCAGGTCTAGGAGGGAGGGGGGAAAAAAAGACATTTTTATAAGTGCTAAGGAAACAAATTCAGCAAAACAAAGTATGTATATAATAACTTACATGCTTCCATGAGTTTCCATATTTTTAGGTTCCTTGTACTGAAAAGCCACAATTATATAAGGGCAGATTTGTCTGGGGCGCTCAATTACAGTGTTGCCTGAAAGTTCATAGAGGTAATACTGAAAAAAGAAAAATATGTATTATCACAGTAACACTAAAGTATTTTCATAAAGTTTACCTCATCTCTACCCAACTGTGAAATTTACATATGATTTAGAAATATATTTATTCATCAATGACTTTACCTGACTCAGTTCAAAGGCACGAAAATGACTTGTCTTAGAAGAAACATTGTTAATATTTGTAGCCACGTGGCAATCATAGCCAAAAGAAGGTCTAGTATAGTTGGTTGTATAATTCTCAGGCACAAACTTTACTTTTCCCTAGAACAAAAATATTAATCAGGTATCTTCAAACAACAATAAACTTTAAAACTTATGGTTTAATAAAGACAAAGATGTTTCAACTAAAAGTGCTAAGAATTATACTTCTTAGAAAAGTAATTCTATAAATGGTAACAAGAGCTTTAATTATCCAAGAGTCCCTTAAACTTATGCCAAAAATCTTGTGTGCTTGGGCATCTTTATGAGGCAAATGTTCACAGTTTTTATCACAATATCAAAGAAATATATTAATTAAATTCAAAATATTACTTTAAAAGTTAAATTTTATAGTTCACCAGAGACATCAATTGACTAAAAAATATTAAGGAAGGAAGGAAATGGTAAAAGTCCAACGGGGACCTAAAAAGGCAGGGTAATGATGGGCAAAGTCTAATAGTGATGAATTTTATAAAACATAATGCATAGGAATGACTGTATGAAACACAGTGTGAATCAAGACTAGTGTGAAACAAAAAAAAAAAAAAAGACTAGTGTGAAACATAATGCATACGAACTTGTAAGCAAATCCATAATTTTTTTTTTAATTAACATAAAAGACAAATGAAATTTAAAAATTTTAAAGATGAGTTTCTACACTAAAATGTTAAATTATCAACTGTAAATTAAAGACCAAGCTATTTCTATTCAGCCAGGGTCTGCTAAATAAACCTCTCATCTCACTACCTTTGAGTCACAGCTAACATTCCACTGAGTTTCTGAGGCCGTAAACCACAAAGAATGAGCTTGCCCATTGTTTCCCCTCTGCATCACTGGTGGATATGAATCACCAGAGAAGTATAGCCTTTAGGTTAGCAGTGCAAGGCTCTACAGACTATGCTACCAGAGAGAAGAGCAAACACGCATTCAAGTTCCTAGCAGGCTGCTGGTCTTGACTCTGCCTCAATAGTTTAGTTATTTCTCATTACAAAATCTTACTCACAATGATCACACATCTCCTCAAAATAAAAAAAGCCTATGATAAAACATTTTGCAATAATTTGAAAGAGTTCTGAAGAATATTTAATAAGATGAGAAAATTTTCATAACATACTATTAAATTACAAAAATTTATAAAAAGTGTGTATAGTAGAACCTAGTTATGAGTTAAGTAGTCAACACATCTATATATTCAAGGGGGGGAGAATATATAAAAATGCAGTGGGGCATTATAGGTAATTTTTTATTTATATCCTTACATAGTTAATATATATTAACTCTGGTGGCCTAGTAGCAAGGAGCTGCAACTACAATCCCAGAGGCGCACGGTTCGAATCCACCAGATGCTCTGCCGGAGAAAGGAGGGACAATCTCCTCCTGTACCAGTCAGATCTGATTTGACGGTGTACACACACACACACACACACACACACACACACACATATATATATACTGACATATATATAAGTTTTTAATTATGTTTTTAAGAACTTTTCAATAAGCTTTCAGTAGGCCTTCCTTTATCTTCTCCAGATCACATACCTAAGTGTGGGCTGGGAGCAGTAACTACTTTTTAAAAAATTAAATAGAAATATATACTTTGGGTATGGCTAGATTTTTATCAGTAAGATGAAAATACTGAGAGCAGTAAGTACTATTTTTTAAAAAATTAAAGATAAATATGTATCTAAGCAAGGTTAATAGCGGCAAAACATCAAGGCTAAGTAACATAAACCCATGTTTAACATCCAAGCTGATAGCCATATTTTCTGTAGCAGAACTACAATATTTCACAGAACAAAAGAGGGAAGTTTAAGAGAAGAAAAGCAGTGATTATATTTCAATATACTACTACTTTCCTTCCAGGTATTGGGGACAAATTCTGGAATATAAACAGTTGAATCCTGGGGGTAGGGGTGGGGGTGTGAGAATGTGTCAGTATTGGGTTTTCTGCCAAAGAACTGAAGTGGTCTGAAATGGTAAAACAAGACAAGAGCACAAAATATATCCTCAAAGTCCACGAATCTCTAAAATCTGAGCTTCTTGTCACATACATCCCAATGAAAATTCTATTGGCATAACTTTTGTACACAGAACTATTACTTAAAAATATACAGTAATATCTGAGATCATCATTTATAGCTGTCACATGAAGTTATGAACAAGCAACAACATATAAAGGAAATCAACTATACTAAGATCTGGATGTTTCAAGGATAAAGAAAAAAAAGATTTATTATTTTGGTCATTTAAACCAAACAATGTATCTGTCTTCTGAAATTCATCTCTTATAACTGTAATCATTATTTTACAAGCTGCTCCTCATTTTCTATTGTTTCACATCATGTGAAACAGGAAAACAAACATTTTTTACTGAATACTCATTGTTTTGAGACTAAAATAAATATTCAGAGATTAAACTATTAAATTAAAAAAGTTTAGATTTTACGAAAATAAAAAATCAATTATTTTCTTCTCAATTTGGGTAGCTTTGTTAAGAACTACATTTAATTACTTATCTATAAATAACACCACCATATAACTTATTCTAGTAACTTTCAGTTTTAAAAAAAATAAATGAATGTATATCTGGGCTTTACCTTGATTAAATTAAAAATTACAACATAACCAGATTTTCCATGATACCAGGGTCTTGGATGAAGATAGTCTGAGTATTTAGAAATGTATACACCTATAAAAGTAGAAAATACAGGTTTATATTTTAAAAAGACTACTTTGATATATACAGTTCACATATAGGGCTACCTATACCTAAGCAAAATTACACAAAGCGTAAATAAAACTTTAAAAATTTGTTTTGTGGGAGTTCTGGTGTCCTAGTGGCAAGAAGGCGTACTGCAATCCCTAAGGTGCGCAGTTCCAATCCACCAGGCTCTCAACTGGAGAAAGGGGCAATTTCCAGTGTCAGATTCGACGGTACACAACGTGGGGGGTGGAGTGGAATCTGTTTTGTGACTGCTGCTTTTCAAAAACAGCAGTCTGTAATATTTTAATAGTACAGAAACAAGGGAGAAAGAAGGGCAGTCTCCACCTACGCAGTTTCACTGGAAGCAGGAGTGGCACCCACTACCATATAGCGTGCTCCTAGTAAGAGGACGAAAGTTACACAGGAGATGTGCAGGCCCTTCGTTCATAGCGTCGCTATGAGTTGCCTGTGACTTGATGGCATTTAACAACAACAGAAACATAAGGGGTAAATATATCTGTCTAACAAACACATTTCCAGTCTGTTACAATAAATGGAAAAGCATTTGGTTTTGAAACATCTTAAACTGGCCTCTCTCCACATGCAATCAGGCAACCAACCAAATGGCCTATGGAAATCTCATTTTCAAGTCATTGTTTTGTCTGTAAATATTCTTATTTAATCATGACAAGTCCACAATATGCATGTTCTGTGCTATTTTGCAGTGATTGTAGAAGTAAAAAAATAAGATTCCTGATTTCTAGGAACTTATTTTGCTAAACAGTAAATTCCACTGAGGCAGGAGTCTTATTTCTTTTGTTCATTAATGTGGCCAAATTACAAATTATAACCCAACATATAGCATGTACCTGACAAGTACATAAAAAAACATTCCAGAAGTATGCGGTTAGAGTCCACTAGGTGCTCTGCTGGAAAAGGAGGGGCAATCTCCTCCTGTACCAGTCAGATCTGATTTGACGATACATACACAAAAATAACAAAAATTTTTTAAAAATAATATATTTTTTTAAAAACACAAAAAACATGTGCATGTATCAGAAACTTAAATATTATGATGTCTCATTGGATATTTAATAACTACAAAAGCAGAAATAATTATAATTGCTTAGAGAGAGGAATAAAAATAAGCAATGATCAAGATATGTAAATATAAAAGATTATAAAATGTTTAGGATAGCTAGACACAGTACAAAAAGAAGTGGTAGACACTGAGGCTAAGAAGGAAAGTTGGAACTAAACACTAAATATCTTCGCATAATTCACTAATTAGATTTTTGCTCTTCATGCAAAACCAACTCAAAATCTCCTATGATAGTTTAGACAGGAGAAGAGGATTCCAGGAACAGCAGCAGCAGTAAAAATAAAGAAAAAAGGACAGAGTTCAGAGATGCTCCTCAAGTCAAAAATTTTACTCCCAGGTATATATTCAAAGGAGATTAAAAGATATGTCCATACAAAAAACTTGGACCTGAATAGATATAGAAGCATTATTCTTAACAGCCAAAAAGCAAATCTAACCCAAATGCCCATCAACTGACAAATGGATAAAAAAAATGGTACAATCATATAATGAAATAATATTCAGCAGTAAAAAAAAAATACTGTTAGAACATAAGTGAAACGTGAAAACATTTTGCTAAGTGAGAGATGTGAGTCACAAAAGATCATATCTTAAGTAATTTCATATATACAAAATGTCCAGAATATAAGCAAATCAACAGAACATAAAAAGGATCAGTCTAAGGCTGGAGCTGGGGGAAATACGGATTGACTTAAAAGGATTTCATTCTGAAGTAGGAGAAATGCTCTATAATTTTAGCGATGGTTGCGCAACTCTAAATACTGACTATGAACTTCAAATGGTCAAACTGTACAGTATATAAATTGAATAAAGCTATGATTATAAATAGGTCAGCAAGAATCTAGTCATCAAGCCTAATTAATGATCTTTCTCAATCTTTATCTTCTTTAAATTTTGGATTATCCAGCATTACTGAATATTCATTCCTGATATTCTTTTATTTTTTATAAAGTCTACTTGATTATCCAGCCACTGGACTGATCAGGACTATTCATCACTCTAGTTGATAATACCACACCCTCAACATCCTTTCCCATAATGAGCTAAAAGTTCTGTTGCCACTTTTTCCTTCTATTCAGTCCCATGTAGTAATATCTTAGCTTCAAAAATGATCACCCTTCTAACTCCTCCATTTAGCCTCAGCCCCCTCTCTAATCCAATCCTATAACTTTATTTTTATACCATGTATTGGATATCTTTCTTAAGTACTTAAGGAAATACCATTATTTTCTGAAATTTAACTCAAAATTAAAATTTTCTCTCCATGTCAGCTCCTAGGCCAAGTATGAAATAGTACCAAGTAATAACCTATTTAATAAAACAACTCTATAGAATAGTTTTATCTACTTTACTGTGAGGAAATGAAAGCTTGAAGAAATTTAGTGGTAGCCCATTAGATTAACTCTTTAACGCAACAGTTTCGCTTCCTTCACTAGACTATACCTTTAAACACTTGGATATGATGATTTCTTCTCTCTTACCCCTCAAATTCCATAGTTGCTAAGCTTGGACAGTTCTATCTCTATGTGTCAGAGAGCTGGACAATGACAAGGGATGATAAGAGAACTTAGAGCTGTGGTGCTGGAGAAGTGTTGAATATACTATGGACTGCCAGGAGAACTAACAGGTTCATCCTGGAGAAGGTGAAACTATGCTGCTCCTTGGAGGCAAGGATTCTGTGCTTTGTTTGACATATTTTGGGCATGCTGCAAGAAGGGATCAGTCCTTAGAGAGGGATATCATGCTTGGAAGGGTGGAGGGACAGAGAAAGAGAAGAAGACCATCAGTGAGATGGATTGATTCAGTGACTGGGGTAATGACAGTAGGTATGTCAGTAAAGTTGGCACAGGATAGAGCAGGTTTCAGGGCTATTGTACATAGGGTCACAAGAGTCACAAGCAACTTGACGGCACATAACAACAACATACCATTATGACAATTTAGGCGAAATCTACATTACCCTGTATGAATATATGCATAAATCCGATAAGACTAAAAGAGACCGTCATTATTTTCCCAAGTCAAGTCAACCAATCTTTTAAAAAGTCTGATCATGTAGCTATTCCTCTTGAAATACCTCACATTTACAACAATGAATGAATTCTTTAAAAAAAGTGTACTGGTATAGGGAGGGAGAGGGTGTAAAATGTGCAAAAATGAATGAATGAAAATCTAACTTCTCTGTGTTAATTAAAAATCACAATTAAAATAAAATTTTATTTTTAAAAAATCAAACCTTACATTTAATCTGTCATTATGTGAAACTTGTAAAAGAAGTATCAAATGAAATTAACTCAATTTCACCTAATCTTGTAAAAGAAAAGATTGCTTCTACCTTTATCTGGATCACCCAGCGTGGTGATTGCACTGCTTCCAACACGGACTCCACGCTGACATACCAACTTTGCCTTTAAACAAAAGGCAATTATTTCACTTTTCATTATCAGCCCTTACAAAAACAGTAATACTATGTTCTAATACCTTTAAAAAATAAACTCTGTATACTATCAGTACTTACTGCACAAAGTAAGTTAATGTAGAGCAAGTCTGTTTGTTTTTCACAAAATTTTACCATTTCTATTAATGAAAATGTTACCAGTAAAATGAAGTTAATAATATTCACAAATAAAATCCTCCCTTGGAGATATGTTTTCCAGTCATACTTTATAGACCCTAAGCCTTATACTTCCAAATGTCTTTCAGGGAGAATCCACAGCATATCTTATTTGGATTCATATGATTAAGTTAAAGAGATAAACATCCTGGCATTACAATATAGCCCTTATATTATCCTTTCATTATAATTCACTGAAATGAATTATTTTAAGAAAACCCACCTTAGTTCTTTATAAAGCATGAATCCAACCAAAGCATTACCTCTGATTTAAGTTTCAACCACAGATTTCCAGTCCTACTAAAAGTATATCTAGTTAGCCACATAGACATAACCTACATGCAGTTGCTAAGTTTTCTTCTCCCACAATTAGGTACAATCAACAAATGAATTTCAATCTTCAAAGACAAGCATGAAAAAATTCCAAATTAACAGAAATACAGAAATTGTCTGACTTATCCCTCAAAGTCTGATTTAAACCTCAAAAACAACGTAGAACGTAAGGTTGAAACGTTCTCTGGTGTGTATAAGAAGCTCACAGGCAAGGATGTTAATTTTGAATTCCCAGAGTTTCAGTTGTAAACAAAATGATTAAATAAAGGTATTGTTTAGAGAAAAAAAAAATCCACAGGAAATACAAAGTAGCTATATAAGAAGGAGTGGCATCTACTTCCTAAACAACATGCCTCCAGAAACTCTATGAACTTCAATAAATGTTGATAGGTGTAAAGGGGCTTCAGGCCTTTTTTCATAGGGGCCTTTTTTCATAGGGTCCCTATGAGTTGTGCTTGACTCAAAGGTAATCAACAACAACAACAACATATAACCAATATGCCAGAACGGAGAATTCTCCATTCACTCCATTAAAGCATCACTGGCATTAAAGAAATCAGATTAATCTAAATAATACTATCAGCTTATCATTTAGAATAAAATTAAAGATGGTAGGGGAAAAAAGTAAAAATCAAATCTCTTTCAATGATGTTCTCTCAACAACATCTGCCACTGCCACCATAGAAAATCTTAGAAATCTTTTAGGACTGAGATATAAATATCTTAAGATTAGTGATAACCATTATTTAATACATTACTACCAAAAAAAAAAAAATTAAACTTTCAACACCTAATTCCCTTACCTGACTTTCTGTTTCAAACAGAAGAAACCCGTAAGTTTCTTGAAGTTCTTCCTGAGTATAGTTACTTGCTTTTTTTTGTTGATAAAAACTTCTGTACTGTATAAAGAGAGAATTACCAAAGGCTATAAACATGTAGTTTATCTTACAGACTTTTTTTTAAAGTATCATCTAAATTCTTTCTATTGGACTTCTTGTTTTATTTTCTATAATATTATTATCATCCAAGTGACCACCTCCAGGGTTTTATACATCTCAATTGAGAAGAGATACCTAAAAAGAAAGGCTTTCATATTAAAGTAATAGGTTTCTTTCTTTTAAAAGGAAGTAAAACAAGAGACACTGTGTGTGCCAAGTACCTCACCTCATTTAAGAAAATGTGATTTTTCACCAAAGTCACTTGACTGTACTGAAAACCATGCTCAGATGAAGAGTCCAAGTAAGAAGTATGGAGAATTGCAACTGCCCTCTGGAAGACAGTATCGGAACTCAAGGACACCGTCTCAAAAACTGTAAGACAAAATAATACAACTCTTTTAGATAACCAAAGGATGGGGTTAAAAATAGTATACTGATTATCACGGAAAATAATATTTAGCCTATTTCCCTCTTAAACAAGAAACTCACAAATGATGACCATATGGGTACTATTTTAACTATGAAAAGCTTATGAAAATAAGCTAAATGAATTACAATTGAGAGTGCATTACTTTTATTTCAAGAGTGGAAATGTACACTTGCCAGATTCATTAAGCCTTTTTTAGAGCTGTGTGTAAACATTGTAAAGTTAACAGACAACACCCAGACCAATGCTTCTCTCTTCTAATTTTTTAGCCATTCAGATAAATTTACCTTTCTTCTCCAAGAAAGCCTATTAGGTTTCTTTTTTAGGACCTGCAATAGTCTGCTCATTAAGTATATTAAGATATCTTTAGCATTTCCTGACCAGCCAAGTCTACTGAGCTTTATTTCCTATATTTAGTATTATAATTTCTTTCCAGTCATAAAATTTTTAAACTTTCTTCATAATGTAAAATGTAAAAAATTACATTTAAACGGTTATTCTTGAAAGATCGTTCTCCAAACCACCTACGTATTTATACCAGAGATTCTGATCTGTCCTGCCAAAGGGAGATAAACTTTCTAAACGCGAACTACAAGCCTCAATCCAGCACTTCTCTTGGCTAATATATTCGGCCTCTTGAGTTGTTTAGTAGTAAAAAGCTGTGCTGCAATCCCAAAGGCACACAGTTCAAATTCACCAGTTGTTCTGAGAAAAGATGGACAACCTCCTTCTTTGCAATTAACTGCCTCTTTAAAACCTGCTAGAGGTCAATTATGGGTCAGTTCTAACTTAACAGTACACACCACCAACCACTGCAGCAAGAGCTGAACCTAACGAATGCCCACACCATCTAACCATTTACTTTTCCTCTTTGTATTTTCTCTACTCTCATTCAAAGACTGAGGGGAGGTGAGCACTGGTGGCCTAGTGGCAAGAAGCTGCACTGCAATCTCAGAGGTACACGGTTCGAATCTACCAGATGCTTTGCTGGAGAAAGAGGAACAATCTACTTCTGTATCAGTCAGATCTGATTTGACGGTACACACAAAAAATAATGAAATAAAATAAAATTTAAAAAAAGACTGAGGGGAAGGCACAAACTATTATTTGCAAATGGTAAGAAGGATGAAACAATTTATACAGTTCTGCAACTTTAAGCCATATAATAAAAATGAATACATTATTAATTTATCTTCTCACTCTTATCAGAACTCAGTTGCATTAAAACCTAAAAGCTCAAGAAAAAAGTATTTTCATTAAAATTATGAATAGACATCAAATACCAGACTATCACAGAAAGTGGGGTTGGGCAGAAAACCTCCAGACTGTCTTTCTAACATTTCATTATCAAGGTAATTTAAAAAACCTTTAATAAAGATAATAGTAGTATCAAAAATGAAAGACTATAAATAGCAAGGAAGGGAAAAAAGAGAGTGAATTACTTAAGAATATTCTTAAGTTTGTTTTTATTGTTGTTGTAGCTGAAGTGGGTTTTCAGAGGCAGTAAACTGCACAGGAGTAAACTGTCCAACTTTCTCCCAATAAGAAGATGGCAGATTTGAACTGCATACTTCTGAGCTGGTAGCACAGCTCCTTACCACTAGGCCACCAGAGCTCCCTATTCTGAAGCAAGTATACCTAATTTCTATTTATTCTGTTTTACTTAATTTCATTTTCTCATTCATTATCAGCTGTTGTTATATCAGCTAGAACCAACCCATAGCTGAACCTCTAGTGGGTTTTTAGAGGTAATATGCTAGTGTTATAAAAAAATAAAGATATTCTGAATTGTCTGCTAATGCCAACAGTCCTAGTATTTAAGATTTCAGCTTTTCAGTGTCATTACTCAAAATAAATTTAATCATTTGTAAATTCATCTTACCATTAACCTGCACTGCCAGTCAAAACCAAGTCAGAAATCCTTAAGAAATTATCATTTTAAACATTTATACTTAATATTTTTAAAGACAGTAACACAACTTTTAAAAAAATCAAAGTATTCTCTGAGGTCAATGCTGCTTATAGTTAAAAAAGAGAAACATTATAGTAGTGTTGGAAACAAACACATATAATCAACACCTAATTTCACAAGAAGGCAGATATTTTAAGTTTGGGAAATACAAAATAAAATATGCATCCCTTCTTAGAGTTAAACTGTACTGTAATAAACAGAAAACTACCAAAAATAATGCAACAGTTATATTTCTTAAAATACAATTTGCTTTTATAGCAATTTTTTTAGCAATGTTTCTCAATGTATACGAGAGAATATTTTATTTACATTAGTGTGGAGAATACTGTTCTAGATATTACAAAAAGCTAACTGTTTAACACAAACAATGAAGAGTATGTAACAAGTGAATCATTTCGTGGATAAGTAGTATTTTTTTAAAACTTTTTTTAGTTAAGAATGCTTTAGATTAGCACTCTCCAAATTATTGTTGTTAGGTGCCATCAACTCATCTATAACTCCTATTAGCCCTGTGAACAATGAATCTGAACTTTGTCTTATCCTGTGTCATATACTTGAATCCATTGTAAGTCACTGTATAAATATATCTCCAAATAGTAAAAACAACAAACTCATGGTATGTCAAGAGAAAGGCTGTTGAAAAACCATGGCAAGTCTTTCCTACTTTATTCAGTGACATCTGTGACAGCCAGGGGTGGATTGAATTGATTTATTTTCTGGGTCTTGTCGGTTTTCTAGTAGTCTTACTACTTTCCTACAACTTGTTTTAGTAGAAAATATTTCAATTTTCAGTTTCTGAGAGGTTTCTTCCTTATACAGTTTCTGGTGTTCTCAGGTCTTACTGTAATAAATCACTTCATTTATACTCTCAAGAAAGCACAACAGTTTACTACTATGTAAATGAGAATTTTATTTAGAAAAGTTAAATTCATGCTTCTTTACATGATATATTTTCATTTAAAAGCCTAATTAATGTCTAGAATATGAGTTTTATTTTTGCTGAGCAATAAACTCTTTCTATTTAAATATTCAAAGTTATCAGGGGAGCTCTGGTGGCCTAGTGGCAAGAAGCTGTACTGCAATCCCAGAGGTACACAGTTCAAATCCACCAGATGTTCTGCTGGAGAAGGAGGGACAATTTCCTCCTGTACCAGTCAGATCTGATTTGACGGTACATGCACACAAAAAAATAATAATAAAAAAAATAAAATTTAAAAAAAAGTATTCAAAATTATCCAAGGATTAAGAAAATGAAGAAGGAAATATTCCAAGAGAAAACTGAAAATAACCTCTACAATAACTTGAAACGTACATGTCTATAAATGTAAAGAATGCTCCAAGGAGTTTAAAGACACCAATAAGTACAATATGGACCAAGTCCAAGTTCAACTACATAGCTCAAAAATGGAGTTAATATTTTGTCCTGTGCCTCCTGGCTTTTGACACACATATTCTTCCCTATTTGTAGACTAAGTCTTAAAAATTAAGTTCTTGATACAACTTCTGCTCAACGTGGCTTGCATTTTTATCAAAATCCATCTCAGCCATACCAAGCTTGTCTATACTTTGAGTAGAGCCCTGGTGCCACAGTGGTTAAAGCAGTTCGCTCCTAACCAAAAGACAGGCCATCTAATGCACTATGAGCTCCACCGGAGAAACATGTGGCAATCTGCTTCCATAAAGATGTACTGCCTTGGAAACCATACAGAACAGTTCTATTTCTTTCAGAGTTGTTAGGAGTTGGAATAAACTGTAGAGCCTTAGATTTTGGGTTTTTTTCAAACCCTTTATTTCTATAGAGGGATAAGGAAATTATAAAGCTTTTTTTAATGTCATGTCACAAATACTGTTTTCCATTCCATAAACATCTTGTCTGATAACGAGATTAACAAATTAAAAAAACTTAGGCATCAAACTCAAGTTGCTGAATCATTCCTGTAAAAACTAACCACTTCTACAACTCTATCAGAATTTGCATGTCCTGAGAAGAATTTATGCCTTTCAGTTGTGTTGTTGGAGAAGAGAACTGAGTATCCAATGGCCTTTGAGTTGTGGTGTTGGAGAAAAGAATTGACTATCCAACGGACTGCCAAAAGAACAGTTAAATCTTGGAAAAATGGCAGGGAGAGTGATCCAGGGAGATGATGATGATGACGCTTGGTCTCTCACACTTTGGACATGTTGCTAGGAAAGGTTATTTCTTGGAAAGTTACATCATACTTGGAAAGATGGAGGGTGAGCAAAGACAATCCCCAGCAAGATGGTTGACACAGTGACTACAGCAACAGGCTCAAGTGTGTCAGAGATGATGAGGATGGCACAGAATAGGACAGGGCTCAGGCCTGTTGTTCATATGGTTGCTATGAGTTGTACTCAACTCGAGGACACCTATTAACAACAGCACATCTTGTGAGTATTAAACAGTAGTACTCATCAAAGACAGAAACCCAGAACTCGAACATCTGTCATTGAGAACTTTACTGATGTTCTTTCACAGAAATATAACCCATAGTTGTTAATATCATCTATGCCAATATATTTTATCTACTCTAAATAGCCATTCATTAGATGTGAAGGATGAGCTCATTCCTTAATCACATAATCTTAAAATGTAATGTCTTTATATTTAAGATATTATTACAATTTTAAGATAAATTAGCTTCTTAAAAGGACAATTTGGCAGCCAAACTTGAATACGTAGACCTTAGATCCTATCATCATTCCATTTCTAGGGCTCTATTAATTAGAAATGTTTGCGTAATACTCAGAATATATGCCAAAGATATTCATGCATCCTCATCTATAGTAGCAAAAACTGGTAATAATCTAAATTGCCATCAACAAAGAACACCTTGGAACTATTATATAAAAGCAGGAATAAATTTGTATATAATGACATATAAAGAGATCTACTACATACTACTAAGTCAACAACATATATGTTATTTTGGTGGGAAAATAAAATAATGTGCTTGAAAATGTGTAAGAAAAAAAAAATCTAGACTGATTTGAACTAAACAGTGGTTACACTAACGGTTAATGAGATTGGGAAATGAATAAAAGAGGAATTATATTATTCATTATGTATTTTACTTTAACTTTTCTTACATAAGCATGAGTTATTCTTATTGGTTACAAACATAAAAAAATTTAATCATAACTTCTTAGAAACACAAATTGAGGGATCTGACCATCTGCCTTGAACATCCATATGTCTTTTATGCAATCTGAGAGTATAATCATCAGGAAATTATTACTTTTAAAAAGTTCTTTCATCTTACATAATTTAAAGTTTTAAAAATTTTTATAACTTATCGCACTTATGTTAATACCCACTCTTTTCTGTTATGAACCCTGTCTTGATCTTCTCTAAGAGAGAATGTAGCTGGGAGGCTGGCCTTAATTCATTTTCACCAAGTATATCCCCAGAATTCTTGCCATAGTTCTGTTCTCTGTTAATGTCATAAAAGCTAAAATGAAAAAAAGAAAAAATAAATCATAAAGCGAATAATTTTCTTTATGGTATATGTAATATATAGACAAATGTTTACTGAGGATCTAATTTACATTAGGTATAATTCTATAATGTTTATTTTTTGATCAGTCACCATAGGTAGGCGTTAAATTTCTCTTTAAATTGTTACATACATAATCTGAAATGTTTTCCCCTCCAGTAAACTTTATCTTTTATTAGAAATAAACTATGATTATGAAATCACTTTTGCTTCACTAGGGGAAAAAAATAATAAGGATTATAGAATCACATTCATATTCCAGTGGTGAGAAATAACAAAACCAAGTAGAACACAAAAAATAAAATCTCTCTCTACACCCAAATTAGCAGTATATGATTGATCTCTGATGACTCAGTGGATAAGAATCTGTGCTGTCAATCTAATACACCAGCTGCTCCTAGGAAGAAAGACAGGTTATATTCTCTTAGGCAACTTCAGCCTCTGAAAACCTGCTGGAATTCAGTTCCAACTTTAACACACATACCACCACCACCACCACCATTCATTAAGCGGAGGAAAAACAAAGTTTTTGGCAAAGTGTTCAGCATAAGCTTTATGATGTCATGTTCTAGATAATTATTTGAGAATTTCAATAATGCTTTACAATAGCATGTATATAAGAACTACTGGTATTGTCCTATCTGAGGTAAGGGAGAGTGAACAATCAAAGATTCAAGGAGGAAATTAATATACAGGACTAATAATGAATGGTCCATGCAAATCATAACCTCTTTATACCTGAGATCAGAAGAACTGGATGGTACCTGGCCACCACTAATTGTTCTGACCATGACATGATAGAAGAGACAGAATGGGAGAAAGCCTCAAAACTCAATTTATAAAAAATACTAGTCACTAGACTCTTTGAGAAAGAGAAATCAGAGCTATTGCCCTAAGCTACCCTTTTAAAAATGGAACTGAGGTAACTCCAGAATTTATCACTCAGGCAAATAAGATGATCATTCTGGCTTATAAAATGATCAATAAAATCTATGAGGAACATGCACCTCTAAACAATCATCTATATAAGACCAAACAAATAGTCTCTATTTGTTCAAAGCAATGATGAGAAGACAAGGAGGAGCAGGAAAACTGGATGGTTGGCAAGAGGGTGGGCAAGGTTAAAAGGCTAAAATGGCTGGCACATGGCAAGAGTTATAACTAGTTCCAAGAAAAGGTGTATGAAATGAATGGGAATGTAATTTGTTGTATAAACTTAAATGGAAAAATGCAATATACTTTTTATAAGATATTAGAAAGCAAAATTTTAAAAAATAAGTACACATTTTATCCAAAAAAGATTTGAGATAGAATTATGTGAAAACATAAAAGCCAATTTAGAAAAGCAGCTCTAATGATGTAAGGTAGAGGGATGAGAGCTTAGTTAAGTCCATTGTGGTAATTTCACTCCACTCACTTGGTTAGTTTTAGGAATTAATATGTGACTTAATCATGACAATGAGTTGTGAATAAAAGTCTATAGAGAATCCTGGGAGAGTTTTCTTACATCAAGATTATGCAAACAGGTGTAACCTTTTGCCTCTACACTTGGTACTTTGACAATGTGTTGCCTGGGACTCCTTGTCACTAAAAACTGATCAAACACTGAAGATGGAATTTCTCCCTTATTGCTGTCTAGTTGGAATCAACTCATAGCTGACACTCCATTGGATTTCCAAGGCTATATATCACACCAGAAGAGACAGTCTACTTTTCCCCTTGGGAGCTGCTGGTGGATTCAAACTGTCGAAGAGGTGTGGCCCATGGGTTGACAATGCAACTCCCTACCCACACCACTACCAGAGCTCTGCAAAATGGAAGAGAGCAGATGAAATATCCTTTATGAACTTCTTGTCAAGTTGATTAAGCTAATCTGCTCTACCTTTAAATATTTTGATAAATAATGTTCCTTACTCTTGAAACCATTTTTATTGGCAGCTGAAAACACTGATGGAACTTAATTACACTAAAGCCTCATTGGGTTATACTTACCTCTCTAAGGTTCCTTTCCTTCCTAACAGTGACTCTACAGACGGCTTGACTGGGGCCTGTTATTCGTTAGGCACTGTGTACCAGCACTAATTTTTCACATTTTATTTGTTGCTCTGTATTGAGATACTCATCCTGGTAAGTATTTTGCAGCAAGTCAGCACACAAAAAAGAGAAAACTCTGCAAAAACTTGGGAAGTTAAAATAGAAGGTATTTAAAACCTTTGACTAATTCCCCACAGATAAGCTCTAAAAAGGTACAAACACCTTTACTTGTCAAAATCATGTATCATATAATTTCACTCACTAGTTAAGACATATCCTAATCTTCATGCGCCTTCTCTATCACGCCTAAGATTTTCTCACAATTAAAGACAGTTAAGATATAACTCAATCGATTTTTTTTAAAAAGCTCTCATTTGTCATCTCTCTCAAGTATTCCACAGGTTATTTGCTATGGTTCTGATATAAATATAGCTCTGTACAGGGGATATGAAGAAGAGTCTGGAAGCCAGATACAGGCACAGCCACATTTAGGACACAACTACAGAATTATGTGTGAGCAATAACTATGTTCAGAACTGAATGAACATAGTTCCTTGGAATGAAGGGTGGCAGTGCAACAAGTGACAAAGCAAGACAAAATTGTGAGTCGTGATTCTAATTCTGAGCACATTACTTCATCTTTCTTCCTTTTATTTTTCCTTCTTTTAAAAATAAAGCTTCAACAAGGAAAACAGCACTGTCGGCAAATTGGTTCTGACTCACAGCAACTGTGTAAGAAATGGAAGAACTGTCCCACAAGATGTGTGGGGTTGTAAATCTTAACTTGGGCTAATCATGTCATCTCCCTCATCATTCTCCTACAGACAGAGAGGGCTGGTGGATCCAAGCAGCTGACCTTTCAGTTAGTAGTCCACTCATTAACCCATAGTTGTTCCTAACAAAACACTAAATGAAAGGCTAAATATCACTAAGCTTATCAGGTCCTTGCCTCCACATTCTCAGCCATAAAACAAAATATATGAGGCAAATGCTTTTAGTCACTGGCAATGCAAAACTGATCCTTTAGAAAGAAAACTAATTTTATACTCAAGCTCTCACCCACAGATAATTTCCTGACCTCTGCATAGTGAACCAGAGATCATGCAAAGCTGAGTTAACAACTCAACAATTCATTGCCAGCAAGTTGAAACAGATTCATAGCTGACCATCCATGTGAGTTTCTGGAAGGTGTAAATCACAAGTGAGGGGACCGCCCACCTTTCTCCCCAGGAGCTGCTAGTGGCTTCAAACTGCTAGAGAGGTCCGTCTGGGGAATTAATAGTGCAACTCCCTATGGAGTATGTCACTAGAGCTCTCTAGAGGTCAAGCAAAGTCGTTCTCCTAAACTGAAGGAGAAAAGAAAAATCAGTGTGGAGTAGGAGAAGCAGGACACTATAACGGAGGGAGTGCGGTATGCAGAGCAGGGGCTCAGTAAATCCATGTGGCAGTTCTCTGCCTGCAAATCTTCAGCAGAAAGTTGGGCTGAATGTTATTTTACATTCACCATTTTACATTTCCACCAGCAATGTACAAAGGTTCCAATTCATGCACATCTTAACTGGCAAATGTTATTATCTACCCTTTTAGGTTATTTCTGTCATGTCGATATGTACTATCTAGCCAGAACCAACTCATACATGACCCTCCCCCAGGTTTTCACAAGCAGTAAACCACATGGGAGGAGACTGCATCTGTCTCCCAGGAAGCAGCTGATGGATTCTAACCTCTTGCTTTGGGGTAACACCTTATCCCTAAGCCACCAGACCTCCCTAATTTACTCTCTTGTGTTTTTGTTTGTTGAATACCATCCAAAGGGAACTTATTCATTCACAGCTGATCTCCAGAGGCAGTTAAGGTTTTCAAAGGTAGTTAACTGCAAAGGAGGAGAGTGTGCACCTTTCTCCCACTTAGCAGTTATCTGGTGTGTTTGAACCTCATGCCTTTGGGTTAGCAGTGCAATTCTTTACCACTCTCTAGCCATCTATGAAATCTCAAAACTTAACCAACTGCCATCAAGTCGAATCTGAATTGATAGTGACCCTGTCGGTCAAGTTGAACTGTCCAAAGGACTTCCAAAGCTAACAATCTTTATAGAAGCAGACTGTTTAATTTTTCTCCCACGGAGCCACTGGCAGGTTCGAATCACTGAACTTTGGTTTAGCTGCCAGATGCCCTAACCAGTAGGCCAATCAGCTCCTTATAGGCATATTAGTGGATAAGTTGTTAGATGCTATTGAGTCAGTCCCAGCTCTTATTCTCGTTGCGAGAGGGTTTTTTGTTTGTTAGTTTGTTTTCTTTATATTGAAGCTGTGCAGCAATCCTAAAGGCATGCAGTCCAAAGGATGCAAAAGGATGGACAATCTCCTTTGATTTACTGCCTCTGGAAACACCCTGGAAGACCAGCTGTGGGTCAGTTATAACTTGAGGGTATATAACAACAATAAATGCATACTGAAGACCAGTACTCTTCACTTTCAGCAAAGAAAGTTGTTTTTACTATCAAACTATGAAGGCTGTTGATGAGACTTCTTCCAATCTTGATGTCACGTTCTGCTTCAGAGTCCATTTTCTCTGATTATCTGTTCAATAAAAAGTCTGAATAAAACTCAGAAAGAAAGTTGTTTTTACTATCAAACTATGAAGGCTGTTGATGAGACTTCTTCCAATCTTGATGTCATGTTTTGCTTCAGAGTCCATTTTCTCTGATTATCTGTTCAATATAAAGTCTGAATAAAACTCAGAACTCATTACTGCTGAGTCAGAACCTCTCCAGGGGGTTTTGTGAGATTGTGTGTCAGACAGGAGATGCCCATCTTTCGAGGAGACGCTGGTGAATCTTAATCTGCAGAGTTGCAGCCTTTGAATTACAACTCCCTGTGGAATGATGCCACCAGAATACCCTAGACTGAAGAGGTATAGTGAAAATACTACCATGCACACATCTTTCCTGATTTTAAGCCATGCAATATCCCCTTCTTCTGTAAAGTATTGCATTCTTTTTATTTCTTAAATTTTCATTACATTTTAATTGACTTTGAGGAATCATTACACTTCTTAAAGGCCCAGGTGGTAAATATTTTTTTTTTAATTTTTTTTATTTTGTGTGCGTGTACCATCAAATCAGATCTGACTGGTACAGGAGGATATTGCTCCTCCTTCTCCAGCAGAGCATCTGGTGGATTCGAAGCACATACCTCTGGGATTGCAGTGCAGCTTCTTGCCACTAGGCCACCAGAGCTCCCCCAGGTGGTAAATATTTAAAGACTGCTGTTGCTGATGTTGTTGTTAGGTGTCACTGAGTCAGAGCTGACTGTAAGGTGTCCAGAGGCCATCAATTGCATTGAATCTCATCCACTCATCTTGCTACCCTGGAGCTGCTAGTGGATTCAAACCATGTTTTTAAAAAATAAAAAATAGCTTGTTTTTTGGTTGCCCACTCTTTTTATCACAACGTACCACATGCCAAATTATACACATGGATACTTTTTTGGTTTGTTGATTGTATTTGATTGGAAATAATTATCTTGGAATTATAAGTACAAATTAATTAGTACAAAGCACAAGGACAGAGTAGTTTTCAGATTCAAGAGCTTAAGGGTTTCCTCTTCTGTTCCTGTACCCAAGAACTTCTTTCTCCTCCCCACTGAAAAATATGGGGCCTATGTTGCCAATCCCATCTTTCAAATGTAATAAGGTTTCAGGAAAGCCTTTACTATCAATCTTGGTCTAAAGTTTTTAAGTTTTACCACCAGGGCCCAGGATTTTTTCCTTCTGAAGTTATATATGCAGTAGGGTATTCTGTTAACAAATTCTATATCTTTGAGCCCCTAACTACTTTCCTATCCTACTCTTTTTGTCTCTTTATTATTGTACACTGTAAGGCTGTTTAGTCTTCTCAGAGTACTTAGTAGCACTCTGCTTCTGGAATTGGGTATTTGGGGAGATACTGGGCTAGGCTTCCTGTGCACAATGCAATCTTTCTCACCGACTTCCAATCAAGATTTCCTAAAAATATTTTCTGGTACACAACAGTAGGATTTTAATAGATACTTATTTAATGATTTGAGCAATTACTTTTTCAAATCGCTTATTTAATGTGTGTCTGTGGCTTTTTTATACTCAGAATACAGGTCTTACTCCTTATTACAATCATGCATAATGTGATCTCTACTGATTCCTATACTTCATTTTGTACTAGTAAATTCTATCTACACTGATCTTTTCATATCAAGTGTTGTTCAAGTCTTTGTATATGCTATTATTCTGACTGAAATGCTTTCTTACCCATTATACTCATGGATTAGTTTTCTTCCTTTAAAAAACCTAAAGGTTATCTCTTCAGATAAACATATGATCACTCCAGCTAAAACAAATGTTTTCTTTAAAGTACTCATTTCATCAGACACTCTGGTGGCCTACTCTGGAGGAAGCTGTGTCATAACTCAAAGGCTGTGCCTATTTGGCAGTTAGTATCTTCAAAAGCAGGTCTTTAGGAAAAAAACAGGCAATCTCCTCGTGTTCAATTTATAGGCTTGGAAACTCAATGGAGGTTCAGTATAAGCTGATTGTGACTTAATGGCAGTGAGCTAAGACTTAACATTCTTCATTGTAACTGAAGGCCTATAAACGGTAGATACAGGTTTCCCTGCTATCGAAAAGAATACCATTCCTATGAAATCTTTTAAAACTACGTAAAATGCAAAAGCTACTAATTTGTATATAAAAGAAACTTTAAAAAAAATCCCCAAAAAATATCCTACCAAATCAAACCAAACATATAAAACCTGACAATTCAAAACTGTGGCAAATTAATGCTTCGTAGGGAAGGAGTCAGGGGACACTACTCACACCGCTATCTGGAGTGTGGTGAATCTTTAATGACTGGCTGCCAAAAAACAGGCTTAAAACCACTTTCACTTTTTGTCTTTTCAGGAATAAGTTAAAATCTCTGATTTCTTTGGGTGAGTAAAAACAAATGCTAAAGTAGGTTTTTCATAAATGCAAAAATTGGTGTAAAATGAACTTTCAAAAAGCAGAGATACCTGTCTGTATAGTATTTGTCTTGTTCATCATAATACCCTGAGTTCAGCAAGATTCCTACTGCCACAAGAGATAAATACTTGAAATTACCCTTGGGTAGGGAAAACTACTAGTAAGTTTTGCCCTATTTTTTAAAGTTTAACATATTATCTGAAACGTATGCATTATGTGCTGTACAATATATTCTGCATTTAAAAGTTTGTTAAGAAAATTTAAATAAGCACAAATATAATTTTGAAGGAATAAAGTTATTTTACTTGGCAAGAGAAGCTCTCCTTTAAACTTCAGAAGTAATATCAAAAAAGTAAAGAAAATAAAATTAGTAACTTCCACCAGTCAAAAGGAGCTGGTGACTTGAGGGGTAAGGAACTGGGTTGTGGAAGCAAAGGTGCTCAGTTTGAATCCCCCAGGAGTTCTACAGGAGAGGATGGGCAATGTCCCACGCGATTACTGCCCCTGAAAACCCTTTGGATGGTCAGCTGTGGGTCAGTTCCAACTTGACAGCACTCAACAGAGTCCAAACAATAACAGACTTGTAAAGTAACTCTAATTTTTTAAAACAAACAGAAACCCACTGTACAAGGTAAAACATGAAATTGTTTGAATATTTTCTAAAGTCAAGTACTCATGCAAAAACACAAAATCAAGGTAACATCTGCTGTTACTCGAATTTTCTTTCACGTTCACAGGCAAACAATTTTTCCTAAAATAATACAAGTCTACACCAAAAAGGTGCCTCAAGCAAGCATGTCACCTATTAGTCCTACACAAACTTTTCAATTGACACTTCTGAAACCCCAATGAGGGATAAGTGACCGCTCTGAAACTCTCAAGTCCCACACAAATGTCTGTCATCACTTAGCCTCAGGACTGGAGACCTGACTTTGTCCGACCTGAGCATTCCCTGAAACCCTCCTAAATGGAAGGTTTAATCTCTAGTTTCTTCTAGCCAAAGAAAATATTCTTTTCCACACAAAGATGCAGAGAAAAGTCACCTCGAGTCAAAAGGCTCAGCCTACAATCAAGCGAACTCCAGCAACAGGTTTTTTAAAGTTGTCCCACAAACACTAACCAGAGGACGCGGTGGTTGGGTCTAAATCAGATCCCCTCAGTGAAAAGAAAGACCCTAGGCCCAGACCTCTCGGGTTTTACCTCATGACTGGGGGGCGGGGAGCTCTGCCTGTGCCCCTCTCTCCACACAGAAGCCAGTGAAGGAAGCGAGGGGCGGAGTCGCGCGCTGGGGCGGCGCCTTTTAAAAGTAAACACTGGAGGGAGGCGGAGCGAGCCCAAGGCACGCACGGCCCTCTACCTTCGGGCGGTTTGCTGTGGCTAGTCTTTTCTAGAAACTTGGAAGACACGAAAAGGGTAGCCTGATTTTTTATTTTACAGATAATCCTCCAAAATTCCGTTTCCTTAAGTGTCTAGCCTGCAGGCACTCCAAAACTACTAAAACTCGAGTTCTATTTCCAAAACCAGAGCTTCCAATAGGCTCATCCTATTGAAAGTGCCTTTCCAACCCAAACAGCAAGAAATTTGTAATTTAACAAGGCGGCGTGGTGACTCTTCTACGTACATAAGAATCACCCACTTAGGGCTCTTGTTAAAATGCAGATTCTGATTCTTACCAGGAACGGAAATGCAAATTCCAAAAGGAGGTGGAAAGGAAAGAACAACCCCCAACACAAACAATGGAAGCTCTGGTATTCTCTCAATGTATTCTTTTTCACTACAGGCTATATCACTTTGGTTTTTTGACAATAATGCGACTCATAGCCCTGAATTCTGCTCTCTCTTGGACCAACCTCATATCCCATAACCCCAGTCACTCAGTCAATCCATCTCAATACCGGGTTTGCCTCTCCTGTGCTGTCCCTCCACCCTGTCAAGCATGACGTCCCTCTTCAAGGACTGGTCCCTCCTTGCAACATGTCCAAAGTATGTCAGAGCTTCAGAATTCTTGCCTCCAAGGAGCAGTCTGGTTTTATCTTTCTCCAGGACAAACCCGTTTGTTCTCCTAGCAGCCCATAGTATATTCAATATTCTGAAACACCACAACTCAGAGGCATCAATTCTTTTATCACCCTTAGTCACTGACCAACTCTCTGAAGCAACTGCCTCAGAGATGAGAATCTTTGTTTTCTCGATATTGAGCTTCAATCCATTATTGAAGGCTGCAGTCCTGGACCTTCTGCAACAAATACTTAAGATCCTCCTCAGTTTCAGTAAGCAAGGTTGTGTCACTTGCATAACACAGACTGTTGATGAGTCTTACTCCAATCCTGATGCCACATTCCTCCTCATAGAGTGCAGCTTCCCAGATGATCTGTTCCACATATAGACTGAAAAGGTGTGGAAACAGGATGCATCCCTAGTGTACATTCCTGATTTTGAACCATGCAGTGTTCCCTTGCTCTGTTCTGACGGCTGCCTCCTGGTTTAAGTCTAGATTTTGCATAAGCACAATGAAGTGTTCTGAGATTCCCATTCTGCTCAGAGTCAGCCACATTTGTTGTGATCCACACAGTCAAATGCCTTTATATAGTAAATGAAACACAGATAAGACATTCTTCTGGTACTCTCTGCTTTCGGCTAAGATCCATCTAACATTGGCGATAATATCCCTAGTGCCACAGCCTCTTTTAAACACAGCCTGCATATCTAGCAGCTCTCTGCTGATGTGTTGTAGTAGTCATTTTTGGATAATTTTCAGCAGGATCTTGCTTGCATGTGATATTAATGATATTGTTTGGTAATTTCCACACTTCATCAGGAATGGAACAAACACCGATCTCTTCCAGTCAGTTGGCCTGGTGGCTGTCCTCCAGATTTCTTGGCACAGCCTGGTTAGCAGTCCAGGGTAGCATATGCTTGTTGAAATATGTCAATTGATATGCTATCAATTCCTGGGTCCTTGTTTTTTGCCAATTCCTTCAGAGCAGCCTGAACTTTCTCCTTCATCCTTCCAGGCTCTTAATCATATGTTATTGCACGTAATTCTTCAGCCAATTCGTTTTGGTACAGTGACTCTGTGTATTCCTTCCATCTTCTTTCAATGCTTCCTGGGTCATTAAACATTCTGCACACAGCTTCCTAAAGTACTACAACGTGAGGCTTGAATTTGCTCCTCAGTTCCTTCAGCTTAAGAAATGCTGAGCAAGTTCAGTCCTTTTGATTTTGTGACTCCAGTTCTTTGCACATTTCATTAGAAAACTTTTGTCTTCCTGTGCCATTTGAAATCTTCTGCTCAGCTCCTTAACATCTTGATTTCTTCCCTTTGCTTTGGCATTTTGGTGCTCTAGTGCAAATTCAGAGTCTCTCTTAACTTCAATTTTGGCCTCTGAATGTTCCTGAACATTACACATGACATAAAGATATTAGATGTGACATCTCATCTACACCAAAACAAAAATCATTTTTATTGCCACTGCCCACTGATATATCCCATAAATGCTTTGGGTAGACAAAATGTCAAAGACCTATTTAACAGAGACATGGCTCATAGGAAAGTAAGGCACATCTACAGGAGATATACCGTACTTTGTCCACTAGACAGTGCTGACTTCAGGAGTTGGTATCTTGAATATCGTTTTTTCTTAATGAGGGAGCAGGTGTAGTGTACACTAAAGGTTCTACACAGGCCTATTTCACCTTGCCAAGGAGAGTGGCAAATCTTTATACAGATTAGCAAGGGATTTAGTTCTCAAATTAAATGTCAGCAAAAACGTCAGGTATATTTCTTAGGATAAAATTATCACTTGAAATTCAGAACCAGGTTTACAAATTTAATCAACATTTAATCAATAAAAGCAAAAGTTGTACTTTGAAATTAGAAGGTCTTTTAGCAAATACAAACAAGATTAAAAGGGGGGGAACAAACCAAAATAATATAAACATAGAGGGGAAAAATAAAGCTGTCAAAGTAAAAGGAATTAAGAAAGAAAAAGAACTGACAGGTTAATTTTTCAAAAGCAGTCATAGAAGCAAGACCACAGGAGTCTGCAATGCTAAAACAACTGCCCACCTAGACATCCATACTCGGCAAAAACATCTCTAAAGAATGAGAACAGAATAAAAATATCTTCCAGTGAATCCAAAAGCTCATCACCAGCAAAAACAATTCTTAAGTATGTGTATAAGCAAAAGGAAAACTGGCATTGACTGTCCAAAACAGAAGACACTTAAAATGTGGGAACTCTTCATAGGAAATGTAAAAAGCACTGTGGGACACAATAATAATTCTAAAAAACAACCACCGTTGGATCAGTTCTGACTCAAATCAACCCCTCTTACCAGGCTTCTATTTCTCCTGAGTTGTCACTGGTAGATTTGAACGTATGGAGATTGAGACAGACCCTTTCAGTTTGCAGTGTACCACTCTGCATATGGATATTTAAATAAAATTCTAAGGTCCTCTCTTTCTTTTTGGCCTCATGGCTGGAGGCTGAGAACAGCCCCTGTCTCTTCAGGGGTGCCTTACCCTCTTTTCCTTCCTTTTAACAGCCATGCTTTCCTCCCTGACTTTTAACTGCCTACCCACTACTAGTACTATTTTCTACACATCTGCTAACTGACTTACCCCTGGAACTTCCTAGACCCTGACAAAATGCCTTGTGCCTTAATAAATCTTTTCTTTGCTAAAAGAAAATAAATAAATAAATTCTAAGGTCATGGTATCAATCATCTGAGAGGAAGTAAAGTATTAGGTTCATTTTAGACCTCACAAAGTGAAGGCACTTATATTTCTAGGATAACCATAAAAAGAAAATCTGTAACTTCCAAACTAGTATACAGAAAAACAGAATGATAAAAGGTAAAGAGAAAGAAATACTTAAGAGACAAGACAAACAGAAAGCCAAACTAGAGTAACATCATAGGGAACTGTGGTGCTAATACTGTGTGCTAAGCCAAAGGCCCCAGCTCTCTGGAATTTGAATCCACCAGGAGTTGCCTGGGAGAAAAAATGAGTAAGACTATAAATCTACTGCACATTTGCAATTTAGAGCCTTGGAAAGCTAGTAGAGTGTCAGTTATAAGTTCGCTCCAATTCAATGCAAAAGAAAATATTAGATATAAACACACTGCATGTTCCAGCTAAAAGCGAAAAAAATTTTAAACTCCATTTTTTAAAAATTGCTCTATTGAGCTCTGGTGGCCTAGTGGCAAGAAGCTGCACTCCAATCCCAGAGGCACGCAGTTTGAATCCACCAGATGCTCTGCTGGAGAAGGAGAGGCAATCTCCTCCTGTACCAACTGGACCCAATTTGATGGTGTACACACACACACACACACACACACACACATTTTAAAAATAAATAAAAATGCTCTATAGAAGAGACATGAGCAAACATATGTGGCCCTAAACAAAGCTTAGTAGGTAAAAAGATAACAAAGAGAAATACTAAATAGAGATCATCATGAAGACCAAAGAGGATTCTTCGAAAAGATTAACATAGCTGATAAATCATGGACAAAATGCTTAAAAGAAAGGGGTGGGGATAAGAAAATCATATACGTACACAGCAAGCAAGGTAGTGTCATCTGCCTAATTCAGGTTATTGATGAGTCTTCCTCCAATCTTGATGCCACATTCCTCCTCATAAAGTCCAGCCTCCTAGATCATCTATTCTGTATACAGATTGTAAAGGTATGAGCATAATATGCATCCCTGATGTTTACCTTTGCTGATCCTAAACCATGCAGTGTTTCCCTGATCTCTTCTGACTACTGCTTCCTGCAGAAAGTCAAGGACTGTAGCCTTCAATAAGGATTGAAGCTGAACATCAAGAACAAAGATTTCACTCGCCCAATTGGCAGCTTCCTGATAGATGAAGAGACTGAGATTGTTAACAACTTCAGCTTTGTTCCACAATCAACACTCTTGGCGCCAAAGTCAGAAAATCAGAAGTCTAACTGCATTAGGTAAGTCTGCTGCCAGGGATCTCTCTAGAGTACTGAAGAGCGCACTGCAATCCCAGAGGTGCACAGTTCAAATCCACCAGATGCTCTGCGGGAGAAGGAGGAACAATCGCCTCCCGTACCAGTCAGATCCAATTTGACGGTACACACATAGATAGACAGATAGATAGATAGATAGATAGATAGATAGATAGATAGATAGATAGATAGATAAAAATTAAGAGTACTGAAGAGCAATGATGTCAGTCTAGAGACTAAGGTGTACCTCGTACTGGCCATGGTCTTTGCAATTACTAGCTATGCATCTGACAGACAATACTAAGGATGACAGAATAATAGATTCCTTTGAGTTGTGGTGTTGGAGAAGAGTGTTGAACATACTTTGGACTACCACAAGAACAAACAGGACTGTCCTGCAGAGGGTGAAACC